GAGGGGGTGTCCCTGCACAATTCTGGGTTGGGGGATGCCTGGAGGGAGAGATGGCCCCCTTAGTAGGAGACATTGCACTAACCGCATATAAGTTATCCTAAAAGTAATCACAGAATAATTTAGACTAGGGCTGTCAACGGATTAAAAAAATTAATCGTGATTAATCGCACTGTTTAAAAAACCATGAATACCATTTATTTTAAATATTTTTAGATGTTTACTACATTTTCAAATATATTAATTTCAATTACAACAGAATACAAAGAGTTGAAGTGCTCACTTTATATTTATTTTTGATTACAAATATCTGCACTGTAAAAAAAAATTGTATTTTTCAATTCACCTCATATTGCAATTGCAGTTCACCTCTAGTGCAATGTCTTTATCATGAAAGTTGAACTTACAAATGTAGAATTATGTAAAAAAAAAAAAACCTGCATTCAAAAATAAAACAATGGAAAACTTTAGAGCCTACAAGTCCACTCAGTCTTACTTCTTGGTCAGCCAATCACTCAGAGAAACAAGGTCGGTTACAATTTGCAGGAGATAATGCTGCCTGCTTCTTGTTTACAATGTCACCTGAAAGTGAGAACAGGCATTCACATGGCACTATTGTAGCTGGCGTTGCAAGATATTTATGTGCCAGATGCACAAAAGATTCATATGTCCCTTCATGCTTCAACTACCATTCCAGAGGACATGCTTCCATGCTGATGATGGGTTCTGCTTGATAACGATCCAAAGCAGTGTGGACTGACGCATGTTCATTTTCATCATCTGAGCCAGATGCCACCAGCAGAAGGTTGATTTTCTTTTTTGGTGGTTTGGATTCTGTAGTTTCCGCATCGGAGTGTTGCTCTTTTAAGACTTCTAAAAACATGCACCACACATTGTCCTTCTCAGATTTTGGATGGCACTTCAGATTCTTAAACCTTGGGTCGAGTGCTGTAGCTATTTTTTAGAAATCTCACATCGGTACCTTCTTTGCATTTTGTCAAATCTGCTGTGAAAGTGTTCATAAAATGAACATGTACTTATCATCTGAGACTGCTATAACATGAAATATATGCAGAATGTGGGTAAAACAGAGCAGGAGACGTACAATTCTCCCTCAAAGGGGTACAATCACAAATTTAATTGACACATTTTTTTAACGTGTATCATCAGCATGGAAGCATGTCTTCTGGAATGGTGGCCGAAGCATAGAAGGGGCATACGAATTTTTATCATATCTGGCATGTAAATACCTTGCAATGCCGGCTACAAAAGTGCCATGTGAATGCCTGTTCTCACTTTCCAGTGACGTAAATAAGAAGCAGGCAGCATTATCTCCTGTAAATGTAAACAAACTTGTTTGTCTTAGTGATTGGCTGAACAGGAAGTAGGACTGAGTGCACTTGTAGGCTCTGAAGTTTTACATTGTTTTGTTTTTGAGTGCAGTTTTGTAACCAAAAAAAAAAATAAAAAATCTGCATTTGTAAGTTACACTTTCACGATAAAGAGATTGCACTTCAGTACTTGTATGAGGTGAATTGAAAAATACTATTTCTTTCGTTTATCATTTTTACAGTGCATATATTTGTAATAAAAAATAATATAAAGTGAGCACTGTGCTCACTATATTCTGTAATTGAAATCAATATTGAAAATGTAGAAAAACATCCAAAATATTTAATAAATTTCAGTTGGTATTCTATTGTTACAAGTGCAATTAATCACAATTAATTTTTTTGAGTTAATCGCGTGAGTTAACTGCGATTAATTGACAGCCCTAGTTTAGATGTAAAGGTTACTTACAAAATAGTGTTTAGAGGAAGGGAAACTTTTTGCACTCTTGCTGTTTTGTGATGTATGAATAAGACCTGAAAGGTTTTTTTGGAGGTGGTGGGGGTCGTTCTGCTTCTCTTGTCTTTTAGATATAAAGAATTTCACTGGTTTTCACTGGTTTGTTGGGGGAGTATCAGAAATTTGGACTTAACTGAAGGGGGTCAGTTGTGGGACTTTTAAGTGAGATTTCCCCTCAATTGTTTTAGTTAAATTGGTATTAACAAAATAAACAATACAACAATTGTCCTAAAAATCTGAAAAAGCTCATTTCCCCTCTCAATCAAGTTTCACTAGCTTAGTACTTGGGATGTCTTAATCTTGCTAGTTCTTTAGTCTTCAGTATAGACATGACCTGAATTTCTAATTCAAAAATAAGCAGTGCACCCTCCTGTCCCAGCCTTTTCTTTCTTTTTTTTTAATGCAAAGCCTTTCAGTCCTCCTTTATAGCTCATAAGAGAGCAAAAAGGGCACAAACCCAATTTACTTTCCCTTTTTGTGGGTGACTTTAAGAATTGAGAGTTGGCTGTGCACACAGTCAATAGAAAAAGAGTTCCAACATATCTGAGCCCAAGGAGGAAAAGTATGTGGTTTAACTGAGGGAAATGATAGTGGATGAAAGGACAAATCAGAAGCTGAACACCCAATTACAAGTGAGGGGCATAAATGAAAGCACCACCCTGTAAATGTAACAGAGCTGGGATTTGAATAGCTTTATTAATAAAATATAGACTCAATTTTCAGTTCTAGTGATAACCAGTCCAGTCACCTAAATAGAGGCATAACATGAGTGCTAAGAGGATAACATTCTGCTACTCATTTGATGTGTTATCTAGATTGCAAATAAAAAGTAGGCTATTACAGTAGGCTAGCCTGGGAATAAATAAATCATAAAGTGTAGACCTATATTTTGACCTCTGCTGAACTTGCTGATTTCTAGAGAGATTAAATAGATAAAATCTAATAATATATCCAGGATGGACAGGGAAACATATGGACTCAAAAGAGACTTTGTAATTCTTCAGAGTTCAAGCAGTATTTTTAAGTGGGAGTAACTGATCTCAAATACAGGAACCAGTATGGTGTAAAATAATCTGCTTATTCCCTGCTAAAGCCTCCATTTCCTCCCTGGGTGAATTTATCTACATTACATGAAATATTCTTGGATAGGCATTCTTGGATAGGCAACCTAAATAAATCTTTAAAAAGAAATAAAAATCTGCATGTGATTAGCAGATACATGATGATGATCAAAACCATGTCATATAAGAAGGGGTCCAGTAGGCTGTAGAAATACAGAAACTGTAAACAAGAGGCCCAAAACAGAGCCCTGCAAATACCTATGGTTTATGAGATCAAGGGAACGTTTCCCCAGAAAGAACAAGAGTGAACTATTTGAAAGAGATAAGACAAAGTGAGATCCTGAGTACCAAACAGGCAGGGCACAACGAGGTTATGAATGAATAGCATTAAATACGGAGAGTACGTTCTAACAAAATTTAAATGACATTATTATAGTCATGGAAAATGACATCAAAATCCCTACAGAACATCTGGAATTATTTGGCTAACAAGAAGTTTCTTAAACAAGACTCAGAATTAGAGCTGCGAGAATAACAGATTTTTTGGTTCAGTGACTAACCCAAAAATGTAATAAATAGTTTGGTTTGGATTGATTTAAAATGGAAATCTTCTGAATTTTTTGTCATCTAAGAAGATAAAATTTCATTTTGGGTTGAATGCAGCGTTACATTTTTCCTGAAATGAAATGTTTTGTTTAATTTTTTGAGGTTTTTACTTTCTAAAATGAAATTGAAGTAAAATTCAGAACAAAGTAATTTTGAATCCAAATTGAAATGTTTCATTTCACAGATATCAAAATGAAACATTTTGACTTTTCCAGGTTACTTTGGGGAGTTTTTTGACTGAAACAATTTGGCAAATTTGACACAAATTTGCAAAATATTTCAGTCAATCCAAATCTGCAATTTTGAAGAACAGTTTAGTCTGAAAATTTTTGCCTAGCTAGCTCTAGTTATAAATAGATCAATGTTCTATTTATAATTATTAAAATTCATTTATTTTAGCTGTGTTGGATACCCTAAGAGCTCCATCTTGCTTTCTGGGGAGCTACTACTCTTACCCTGTACACTCCATGTGGCTCACATCTCTAAGCAGTGAAGTGGGCAGTTCCAAATGACCTTTCAGTAAACCAGTTTCCACTGAGTGATCAGCCCTAAACACAAACTGATATGTGTCAAACTCATAATGTGTCTTGTTACATTGGTTTTGTGCCACAGTAACTGCATTGAAGGAGATGGAATTGCACCAGCATAAAATCAATATAAACAAGTAGAGAGTCATCTAAAGATATGGCAAAATCTGGGTAACATACTCGAATGGGTTAGGGAATTGGGAACAGATGAATCATTCAGACCCATTCGCCTTTACTGATTTGAATGCTGTGCGCCTCATCTAGTGGCTGTTAGGTGTGAGTTGGTGACTTCAGTTCATTTCCTAAAACACTCCATTTGTAGCAGTCTCAGCTGAGACACCAAATATGAAATCTGAGACTAGTTTAATCTCTGATCTCCTTGTAAACTCCCTTCACTTTCCAGATGAAGTACACCAGGGAAACTTGCACTGGATAAACTTTCAATTTCCAGTGCTATTGAGACAGCACCTTTCACAAGCTGTAAATTCAATTATTATCACTAATGAAGACAGCACAGTAAATATTTAGCCACAAACAGGAGCAAAGAATGAGTAAAAAAATAAATAAATAAACTTGAATCCCACAGAATACTTCTCCAGGGTAAGATAATCAAAGTATAACACAACAAATCTGGGTGGGTCATGGTAATAGGGATTGAACTCATCACCTCCGGATCTAAAAGTATGAGCCTCTACTGACTGAGTTAAAAAAAATCCAGCTCTTGATAGTTTACAGACTGTAGCAGACTCACAAATCTCTGTGAGCCATACGCTACAAAGGCACAGAGAGCCCCATGGTGCATGTGTGGGAAACTAAAGCACACTAAAAATAATCCCAACTATATGATATGTCATGTTCTCTTGTACTTTGTTCTTTGTACTCTGTACTAGCACTCCTCATTATGAATTAAAGTCTGTGATGTTAATTTTATTGATGAATCTTTCTTTATTTTTGGTTTCAGAGGAAGAATTTGTCCCTTTTCTTCAGCATTGGTTTATTGACTTTCTGGGGGACTGCACTGCTGGGTGTCCGCTTGTACTGGATGGGCAACAAGCCACCAAGTTTTTCCAACTCTGACAACCCAGCAGCTGACTCAGACAGTTTTCTTACACGCACTCTGACCTTTTTTTACTTACCGACCAAGAACCTCTGGCTGTTGCTGTGCCCGGACACCCTCAGCTTTGATTGGTCTATGGATGCTGTGCCTCTTCTTAAAACAGCCAGTGACTGGAGGAATCTACACACTGTGGCCTTCTATGCTGGACTCCTCCTCCTTGCCTATTCTAGCTTGAAGAGTTCCAGCAATAAGAGAGAATGCAATGGGAAAACTGTAATGAATGGCAAGCAGAATACTAATGGGCATAGCTGCCACTCAGACATGGAGTACAAGAGTTTGGAGCTGAAGTCCAGCTTTGCCTCAAAAGAAGAGAATGGCATAAAAAAACATGTAATCCAGAGACCTCAGCTTCCTTCAACTGAGAATATTGTACTTCTGTCTCTGTCTTTGTTAATAGTGCCCTTTGTTCCTGCCACAAACCTATTTTTCTATGTAGGCTTTGTAATAGCAGAGCGTGTACTATATATTCCTAGTATGGGCTTCTGCCTGCTGATTACAGTGGGTGCCAGGTCCCTTTATATCAAAGCCCAAAAGCGCTTTCTGAAGAACTTGATTTTTTATGCCACTGCTGCATTAATTCTTTTCTATGGACTCAAGACTGTTGTCAGGAATGGGGACTGGCAGAATGAGGAGATGCTGTATAGGTCAGGGATAAAAGTAAACCCAGCTAAAGGTAATACACTTCCCATGGTGAATGTTTTGTTCCTGTCTGTCTGTGTCTGTCTTTTCTTTCTAGGTTTATCCGCTGTGTTTAGAGAAGATACATTTCATAAATGTATATTAGGTCCAGTAATGCACACATTGGTACAGGAAAAAGAAGGCAAAGCAGGAATACATTTTGATTAGGTATCACAAATTTGATATTAACATGCAGAAAATTGGGGGAAAAAACAAGGTAAGAAGATACTTTATTTAATAATCTATGTTCTGTTTTTTTTTTAATTAAAGATGAAACATTGGCATTACAGACTCTGCCCAGTAATTTCCATTACCTGGTATCTGTTCTCCCTGATGAACTTCCTTTAGTGATTTTGCTATTGGATATAAATAGAAAATATGAGAAATAATCAAAGAGAACTTGAAGGAAGCTCTGTCTTTTAAATTTCAAATGATGTAGGTAACACTGATACCACATAATAAAGCTGGGTTTGGGTTATTCAAACTGGCAGGTGATTGTAGCCCATATTTCTAAGCACTATGCAGGGTTTTAGCCAAACAGGCATACCTTAATGTGTTAATGCATTAAAGGCATTATGTGATAGACAAGATGGGTGAGGTAACATCTTTTATTGGGCCAACTTCTGTTGGTGAGAGAGACACACTTTTGAGCTTACAGAGAGTTCTTCTTCAGCTCTGAGTAAGCTCGAAAGCTTGTGTCTCTGACCAAAAGAAGTTTGCCCAATATATTACCTCACCCATCTTGTCTCTCTAATATCTTGGACCAGCACGACTACAACAATACTGCGTTGAAGCATAAGTGTCAGATATTTGAAGCAATAGCAAAGTACCTCACACTAAGCCTGCTTTATTTACAGGCCAATGGAACTAGAAGGGGTCTATTGATTGATTTTTATGTGTGTTATGAAAAAAATTAAACAGCATTTTAACTTTTTGCACTTAGTAGTGTGCTAGAGTACTCTGCTCAGCAGCTCATCACATGATGATGAATCAGTAGTTGATGCTGACCAAACTGTGCTTTGGGTAAGATAATAGTGCTTTTTTTTTCTAGCTACTATTTACTAATGGTAAATGCAGATGTCAGCGTAAGCTGAAAGTCGAGGGAGAATAAAAGCAGTATGATTTACAGATAAATACCTTGCTAAACAGTATTAAAGTTACTTGTAATTTGTCAGCCTAATTTTCTAATGATTTCTTCATATTTCTGTAGCCTGGGAGTAAAATATATAAAGTTATACAGTAAATGACTTTGTGTTAACAGTGTCAATGACAAGCACATCCCATTTTCTAACTTTATTTTGCAAAACTGGTTCATAGATGCAACAGACAGTGAAGAAAAATAAAGTAGGTGAATGGCCAGATAGTAAATAATCCTCATTGCAGTGCATATACATTCCAGTGTGCTGGCTGTCAATATAAGATACACAGCAAATATTAGTCTTCCTTGAAATGAAAAGAATATGTCTTCATTTAACAAGGTGATTTCTGATGCTCTTATATCTCATTGTTAGTTCTGTCCCTAATGGAGTTTCCCTAAATGTCAGCGATTGTGTAATAGCTATCCCTTAGTCTTGGACTAGCTTCTCTGATGAGGTTTTCCTTGCTACTCTTAAGTGCTGCTCCAATGAGAAGCTTGGTTGGTAGAGGTGGTGCCTAGAAATGGTGCATTTGGCAGTTCCTGAAGACAAACTATGCTAATTTTATTATTCACCTTTATACTGGGAGATAGACATTTAGAGTATGTCCTCACTACAGCTGGTGGCTTGAACTCCTGTCCTGGATAGACAGACTCATGCTAGCTCTGCTCAAGCTAGAGCACAAAAATAGCAGTGTGGATGTTTCAGCATGGACAGCAGCTCAAACTAACTGCCTGAATCCAAGCCTTCCCAAACCCTTTGATCCGAGCTTAGGTGGCTAGCCTGAGCTTCCACAAGATCCACACTGATATTTTTAGGGCACTATCTTGAGCATGTGTCTGTCTAGCATGAGTCTGTCTGGGGTTCAGACCAGGTCTTATCCTCTGAGATTTAAGCCTATATGACTACCTGGTTTCTAACCTTACAAGCAGACTTCATTTTCACATATTTTAGAAGATACTAGGAGACAGTTCACCAATTTAGTAATATATACATGGTGGAACTGATTGGAAATCTCCCTAAAATAGCCATGTACTGAATATTTACTAGTCCATATGTATCATAAAGCACATCATTTACTGAAAACTCCTAGAAACTACACCATATCGCCCAAGCTTTGTTCATTGTATTGAAAAATTCCTAGACTGTCCCAGTCTTGGACTATTCTAATTTATTTGATATTTCTCATGCTATTCAGGCAATTAAGACTGGGCTGGACTGCCAACGCAAAGAATTCAATAACCCAAAGAGATCAACAATCCAAACTCCTTACCATTATTTAATGACTGACATAAAATATGATTTATTATTGCCTGTCCCCTGATATTTTTTTAAAAAGCTATTAGGACAAAATATGATATTCAAATTGAAAGAGACAAACAAATGTTGTGGCGGTGATAGGGGAGTCCCTTCTTTCTCTCCTTGCTGCTGGAAAGAGGATACCACTTAATCTCCTTTCCCACAGTCAGACCATCACTATCCCACTTCTCCCTCAACTCCAATAGCTTTGGTTTGCAAGGAAACATTTTTCTAGGATGTTCTACCATCTTTCCCCGTCTGCCCCAAATCCTGTATAGATCACCTGAACACTGTCTTGTATCTCAGGCTAACAAGGGAACAGGAATCACTAAAAAGACTATTCCTGAGAGGACTGACAAAATAGGCAAGGATAGGCAAAATAGGCCCTGCAAAGAGAGACCTTTTGCTACAGACTGATGTTACTAAAGCCGTTCCCTCTTCTGCCATCATGGGGTTTTGAGACAAAGTCTTTCAATCTGCCTCTTTTGCCCCACCATTGAAGGGAGAAGAGAATGTTAGTGACATGTCTGCCTTACCTCTTCCCCACTTCTCTGGCACTCCTCTTCTCCATGGGTTCTTGTTGCTGTGTTAAGTGCAAGCAAAGCAAGTAGAATTCTGTCAGCATAGAGAGGGTGTGAAAGTTCCCACTCTTCCAGGCTGCAGCAACCTTACCGTGATTTACAGTTCTTCCATACTGTTCTTGTCAATCACAGATGGTATGAAAAAGCCAGTTAAAGGCCTGGCCCACTCTTCTACTTGTCTCCCTCATCCTCTCCTCCTGCCCCCGCCCCCAAATGCCCCAAGAGAATCAGGTGATTGGAATCTTCTAAGGCTGCCTTAAAGCCATCACACACACACAGGCCGTTCTGTTTGACCCAGTGTACAGCAGGCATCTGCCAGTCATTAGCTGATGGAATTGAAGTGTGGTTTTGGGATTCCTTATCTGCATCAGTTAGCATGTTTGTTCATTTGCCATTTTGATAGAAGCAGTGGCTTTTTCATAACTAGTGTTTTAAATAACTCCAAGATGAGCTGAGTCTTGCCTCATTATAGTTTGTCAGGACTCGGGAGGAAAATGGACAGGATTGATTAATGTAGTTTATGGATTCTGAAATGGCTGCATACATGTCAACAACAGGGAGGGATGGGGAGAAATGTCTCTCTGTGACTACCTTCAACGTAATGAGCAATCTAACTATTAAGCAGTGGTTTCCCTCAATTGAATGAAGCTTTTATTTTTTTTCCTTTTGAAGTTTTAAAAATTGTGACAGTATTTACCAGTTCTGCTGAAAGTTGACAGTCACTGTCTCTTTGTGGTACCAATTACCCTGAATTTAATATAAAATTATAATTATACACAAAATAATTTTACTCACTGTGTCTTATTGTTATCTCTATGTAGTCCCAATAGCTGGTTTCATGGAGCAGATTTTTTTCGGTGAAATGCTATCAAAGGTCATTTTGAACTTTAGGAAATGGCTCAACTAATTTGGATGTTCAGATATATGCCCTCTGATGAAGTAGATTACCTCAAAATAGTAAATAAATAATTAAAAACTATAATTGAAAGAGGGTTGGGTATTTACTGTAATGCGGATCAGGTCTTTATTTGGCTATGTTCACTGGTTTTGCTGCCATTTTTAACTTTAAACCTGTAAATTATTGTTGATGCAACTCCTTAACTTGTTAGAGCTGGTTGACCAAACTGATATTATGGAAAGCACTTAAGCTAGTGCTTAAAGTAAAGCACGTGAATAAATCCCATTGATGTCAATGGAACAGCATGTGCTCAAATCCCAGTGGATTCAATGGGATTTCAGTGTGTGCTTCAGTTCTTTCCTGAATCAGGGCATCAGAACATCCTTGATTTAGAACTATTGTTACTTTTTACATGCACTGCCCCTGCCTGGCATATCAGTTCTTATGCTATTCTGTGGAATCAGTAAGTCAGGAGCACAGCCAGCAGCAGGGCCACTATGTGTTAGCTCGAACTGGTGTGTGAAAAGTTATTGGGCACAGAAAGTCTAAGCCTAACTATGTTTTGTCCCCCTCTTTCCAGTCTTGATGTTTAGCTCTTGCCTTGTGATTCCAGCAGGTAGTAAGAAAACTTTCTAGAATAGAAAACTGAAAGAGTTAAAGAAATTTCCTTCTCTGGTCAGCATAGTCTTTTTCCAGCAGGATGAATCACTTATCATTATATTCATGCCTGCAGGAAGGTTTTAAAACTAGTCCAATTATTTTTGGATTTTGCATTTGCCATCCTTTGCTAAAATAGTATTCAGCTTTGGTCATTTCTGACCTATTTCTAACTTTCTTCACAACTGGGGTGGGTTTATTTTAGAAGATTGCCTGCTATGGCTTTGAGCTGGTAAGAAGCAGCTGTATAAAATGTATATGACTGTCAAGATCTGAACATGCAATGCAGATCAATGGCATAGCTAAGTACAATGGTTGTTGTATGATCATTTATTGGTTTGTGTTTTGTTTTTTACATTCACAGGAAAACATGGTACTTGCATGAGTGTATATATATTTTAAAAGTCTATTTGTGGTTTAATTA